ATCATCACATCATCTTCTGTGTCCGGACAGCTAGAAAGATTCTACTTTTGGGGATTTGGGGATTAGGGTTTCCTAAGTTGTCTCTGTTAAAAGTGATAGCGAATTGGCATTTTGGGTGAAGGGGACAACTGGGGTCAAGGTTTTGGGTTTAGGGTTTTGAGAAATTATTCTACTTTTTGGATTTTGGGTTTAAGATTTTTCTAGCGATCTCTGTTGAAAGTGATCGTCTTTCACTGTTTTCTTAAGTCACACTGATCTGGACAGTGAAGGGGACAACTGGTTCAAGTTTTTTTGTTTTGGGTTCTCTGACGAGAGATGTCTGATGCTTCAGGCATTGATGAATCTGTTCTCAATCTGTTGGAAGCCATTCAGGCATGACGGCGAGAAATCCGAGGGGAATAGCGTGCTTGGTGGCGGTGGTGCGAGGGAGGGAGAAGACGGGCTGCTTTGGTTTCGTGATATAGGGAAATATGGGTCGGGGGATTTCTCCATGGCCGTGGTTCAAGCCAACCAGGTGCTAGAGGACCAGTGCCAGATCGAGTCCGGGCCGTTTGGTACCTTTGTTGGGGTCTATGATGGGCACGGTGGACCGGACGCCGCCCGCTATGTTTGCGATCACCTATTTAGGAACTTTCAAGGTTCGTAATTTCTATTTTTGGGGTTGTGGAAGAATTTCAATACCCCTCTCTCTACGGACGAATTTATGATTTCTGATTTGGTGTCCTTTCTGGGATTTTAACTTTATCTTTGTGGATATTTGATTGAGAGATGTGAACTGTGTTATTTATTGGTGATTCTCATTTCTCCATCAGATTTGCTTTTCTTGATCTTCTTGAGCTTTTGAAAAAAGTTTTGTTTTTCATTGGATGCTTTAATGAGTTCGGAACTGTTTGATACTTCTTTCTCTTCCCAAGTAGATAAACATCATTGTCATGTTTGGTTTTTGATGCAGCCTGATGTACGCTTGTCTCTAGATACTTTTCGGATAGTTTCTGTTAGGCTTTTAGAGGGTAAAAACGAATGAAATTTCTGACCTTTAAGCTGGAAACCTGATATTTGATATTTGAATTGCAGAGTACCTTTGGACTGTTTGTATCCAAATACTAGAAATTTCTTGAGTGAAACATAGTCTTTTGAGTGATATAAATTGTAGTGGGGCATTATGGTTTTGACTGTAAATTTACGGCGTTTTTACTTGCTTTGTTTTACCTGTTTCACCTTTCATTACTTGTTTAACTTGTATGGAAGGAGTCTTTCTTATGTTGGCATTCTTAGGCCTTGTGTTTATGCAGCAATATCAGCTGAGTCCCGAGGAGTTGTGACAACTGAGACCATCCAAAGGGCTTTTTGTCAAACAGAAGAAGGTTTTACCGCCCTTGTGTCAGAGTTATGGAGTACTCAACCAGAAGTTGCGACAATGGGGTCATGCTGTCTGGTTGGAGTGATATATAGGCAAACACTCTTTGTTGCAAATCTTGGAGATTCCCGTGTTGTGTTGGGAAAGAAAGTTGGCAACACTGGAGGAATTGCTGCCATTCAATTGTCAACAGAACATAATGCAAATAATGAAGCCATACGGCAGGAACTCAAGGAATTACATCCCAATGATCCCCAAATTGTTGTTCCTAAGCATGGAGTATGGAGAGTAAAGGGCATTATTCAGGTTATTTCAAACTCTTGATATAATTTTTAGAATTTTTCATATGAAGGCATGCATGAAGTCTTATATTGCTTGGCATAGAACATTTATTCATTGTAAAACCAGCACAGTGGCACTAGTCCCAAGTATTTGGGAATACTTAAAAGCCTTTTTTTCTTTGCTTTACTGGATGCCATAGATATAGATTTCCAGCTTCAATTTCTTTTCTGCAAATTGATGTCAGTCTGTTTGCACCATTGATTTTAGATATTGTCAAATATAGGCTTCTTTCTGCAAAAGAAAAAAAAAAGTCTGAAAAAGATTTGGTTTCTTGTTTGTCTTTTTAATAAATGCTAGTGATTGTAGGGTTTTGGCTGAGGTTTGCCACAAATACAAACATTTACATGCTAGAACGTAATGAGGTATGCATAACTATAGTAGTAAAATGTACTTCTAGACAATAGATGTTGGTGATAACAGTTCATCTCATGGCAAACACTTAAAAGAGAACTGTGTTGTCCAGGGTTTTCTTGGTTAGAGATCAGTTTACTTAGCACATCTAACATAATATTCAACGATGTTGGTTGTTAATAATTTTGTAGTTTAAGAGAACACAGAAAATATGCATATCGGTTGTCAAGAAAATAAAAAATGTTGAAAAAAGAGCATGACAAATGATCTTTTCTCTGCATAAATGTGAGTTAACTTGAAAGTTTTTTATTATAGAAATTGTACCTTGTGTCATAGTTTGTAGTTCTCCGTCACATGTTGGTAGCAGGCCCTGTTTCTGACTTGTCATGATCATGTTTCTTCATAAATCATGTTTGTGATGTCATCAATTTTCATTGTTGTGTATGATGCAGGTTTCTAGATCCATAGGCGACGTTTATATGAAACATGCTCAGTATAACAGGGAACCAATTAATGAAAAATTCCGAGTTCCTGAACCCATAAACATGCCTATATTGAGTGCCAATCCAACTATCATCTCTCATGCTCTCCAACCAAGTGATTCTTTCCTTATATTTGCATCTGATGGTCTGTGGGAACACTTGACTGATGAAAAAGCTGTGGATATTGTCCACGGTCATCCACGGGCAGTAAGAAATCCTCATTTTCTATAATTCCTTGTAGGCTTTATTTCCTGCATTGAAATTGTCATCTTGTTTCCTCTGCAATTTTAGCAGTAGGCTTTGATGACCTGTGAGTTTCATTTTTCAAAATTAAGGGTCTTCATGGACTTTAGTATCAATCTTTCAAATCATGAACTTCTGCATGAGAAGCCATTACGTTTTACATTTAGTGCTGATGCAGAATCACATTTTATTTTCCTGTGCTTTTGTCTATTTTTTCAATTAACCAGAGTTTCTATCCTTGTGCTATCATTACTATATCGCTTTTCTAGTTCCACATTCCTCAATATATTGTTGTCCACTCCACACACCACACAAAATACAGCACATCTATTTGTGGCAGGTTGTAAGAAAATGACAAATGAGATGCTCTCAGTGACACTCCCAATTATGCAAGCTTCTTGGTCAGCTAGGATAATGGCTTTTCTCTGTCACAAATCATGATTCATTGTCCTTACTGCTTCTAGTCAAGTTCAAATTGTAGCGTGATTATGATAGTTTTGGCTATTGTAACTTGTTGCTCATGAGCTCCGTTTCTGTTAATGCAGGGAAGTGCCAAAAGGCTTGTCAAGGCTGCCCTTCAAGAAGCAGCAAGAAAGCGAGAAATGAGATACTCTGATCTTCGAAAGATTGGCAAGAAAGTACGTCGCCATTTTCATGATGACATAACTGTTATTGTTTTATTTTTGAACCAGGACCTTATCTCCAGAGGCAGTGTGCAAGACCCTCCAATCTCCATCCGAAGTGCTCTGGACCACTGATTGGGATACAGATTACAGAACCAAACCAAATGAATTTCTCCTTCCTCTGGTTTTGGTCAACGCTGGAAGAATACACTATACCTCCCCTTCCCCATCTCAAAAACTGCACTGACATATCAGTCGGATTGCATAACTGATTCTAAGACTGCTTGTTTTAAGAGGCTTCAAATTTGTAAAATGTTTGTTTCCAGGAATATAACTACCATTTACTACGGAATTCAATGGATGTCTTTCTGAATCTCTATTCTTCTCTTCAAATTTTATCAATTCAAGTCTGCACCCTACGGCATAGAAAAAGAAGGTTGTGTTTTACCCCTTTTTTTGAACGAGGGTAATTGGGGGAAGGAAGATTGTTTCAAAGTCCTTGATAATGGTAGAACTCCCAACCTAAGGAAACCCAAGAACTAAGATTTGAGGATTACTAGAACCCCAAGGCCGGTTGAATTCAAGGTTGTGCCGTGAACTCTGGAATTTAGGTTAAATCTTCAATTTGGTCCTTGAATTATTGTATAGACCCCTAATTTGGTCTTTAAATTAAAAAAATTCTTGATTTGATCTCTGGACTATTGTACATACCCCTAATTTGATTCCTGATTTGGTCCTTATTGTATACTAATTTAGCTCAAAGTTGGTTCTTCTATATAAAAAATAGCTGATATGTTCGTTACTTAATGATGAAAAATAATTACTTAATGGTCACGTGACACGTTAATAACAAGGCACGTCAGCTGTTTTTTTGTACAGAAAAACCAATATGGAGCAAATTAGCAAATGGCAAAACCTCCAAATTAACTCTTAAAAAATATCGACATGAACAAATCCACCCTTTACAAAAATGAAGGGACAAATTGCCCCTTCAAATCATAAATCAAGATAAATTATCTCTTTTTTAATGAAAAACGTTAGAATTCTGTTTGTCACGTCAGCATTTTTTAATGGAAAATGTTAAAAAAGCGGTGATTTATCTTGATTTATGATTTGGATGGGCAATTTGTCCCTTTATTTTTGTGAGGGGTGGATCTATTCCTATCAATATTTTTTAAGGATTGATTTGAGGGTTTTGCCATTAGTAAACAGTAGGATCAAATCGGTGATCTGTGCAATAGTTCATGACCAAATTAGGGGTCTGTACAATAGTTTAAGGATCAAATTAAGTCCGTACAATAATTTAGAGACCAAATTGAAGATTTAACTTGAAATGTAAGGGTAAAATTTATGATATCCCCTTGGGTATGCATGTGTAGGTTGCTACTTTTCCTTTGTTTCCCCCATTACTTCCCTAGCTGTGAATTTTCAATTGAAAGTCAGAAATACAGATGATTGGCTAAATTCAACGAACCAAGTTTTTTGCAGTGTTTATTAAGTAACTTCTGAATCATACCATCTTCGAAGAATATATATATATATATATATACATACTCTTAATAAATAAACCATAAACACGTCATCCTATATGGTACTACCATAAATCCTCAAATCTCATACTACCTCTCGTTGCAAAAAATCTCCTTTGACACATGGCAAATGAAATGACATGCCATTTCCTTTATTCAAAATAAAAAAAAAATTTCTCGACGATCCTCTCTTTTTTTTCAAGCGTGGAACTTAGTTGTGAGTTGATGGAAGAATGTCGTAAACTATGACTTAATAATTAGATGATTGGTAGAAACAAAAGATGAATTTTTTGCACTAAATGGGTTATACAACAAAATGCCTTGGATATGATTCTAAGGACTGCTCTAAACAAATGTAATTAAAAAAGCTAAGACTGCAAGAAAAATAAATGATTGCTAAATTACCCAAAATCTAAATGAATCTTAAATATGCAAACTAGGTTGAAATAGAGCTCTAAGGAAATCTAATTGCAAAAAAGGCAAATTAAGTTAAAATAAATGAAACTAGAAACATGGAAAATCTACTGGCAACATGAAATGTAAATTAACAGAAATTATGAAATTAAATATCAATATCATTTGATTAAATTAAAAGAAACTAGGAAAACATAAAGGAAATGAAGCAATTTGATTACAAAGAAATATCATTGAAGGTAGCAAAACTTACTATTACAAAACCAACAAAAGGAGAACTAAATTGTTTCCTCATAGAACTACAACTAATTTTTAAGATTTTTAAAGGAAAAGTCATTAAACTAAAGTTGAAAACTAGTTTAAGTTGGAGCGTAGAATTAAAACTAAACTAAAGGACTTGAGGCTAAGATGTTTCTAAGTATAAAAAGAAATTGTGCCAAACTTGTTGTGTGTGAGGTAGGTTTGTCGTGCTTTGTTTATTTTTTGTGTATTTATAGCAGTAGACACCCCTTGGTAGCAGACTTTGAGATTTGCGGTAGCATCTTGAAGACTAACGACAATGTGAAATCTACAACAAATCGATTAAT